TGGATACTTACCTGTGCTCTGTGCCATCATGACTTTGGCAATAAATGAAATGAGATTTTGCATGACAAACTGAGCATTTTTCTATTTATTTAAAAATGAAACTCCACAGGGCATCATGTCTACTATCAAGATAAGTATAAGCATTCTGATAAGCCAAATGGTTTCCTCAGATCTAAATTCCACTGTTTTCATGAAGTTTTCTACTTCTACCCACCGACATCTCTTTTCCAGTTGTGAAATCCTTTGTACCTAGAGCAGGGTCTGCAGCACTTTTCAACTTCACTGTGTTCCTGTTAATTAGAAAAATACCCCCAAGTTCAGATTCTATTTGTGTCTATACCTCTACAGGGCAATAGAAACAGGAATGTGAATTAGACAATTCACTACCTTTTAGTCCAGTGGGCAGCTAAGCCTTGCTGCTGTTACAGACATCTTGTGAATAGCTGTGGGGACAGGGGTGACTGTTATTTAGTGCTTCCACAACTGAAATATCACAAGGGCTTATTTTTTACAAACAGAAATTTATTCTCTCACAGTTTAGGAGACAAAATGTCTGAATTCAGAGTGCTAGCTCAGCTTTCCTGTCAGCTCTGGAGGTTGTTTTCCTTCCACATCTATGGCCCCTTTATTCCTTGGAGTTCTCCATGAGTCTTGGCATCAATTGTTCCCTGGGTCTAGGAGATTCTCTGCACAGGGAGCCTGGATCTATATACATCTATAAAGTCTAGTTGGTTGATTGTGTTGTTTAGTTCTTCTGTGTCTTTGTCAAGTTTCTTTCTGGTTGTTCTATCCATTTTTGAAAGTGGTGTATTAAAGTCACCCACTATTATTCGGGAGCCTGGATCTAAAGGAGGCACTCCACTCCCAACTCTTTTTTTCTTGGTGGTAGTCAGCTCTTTCTGTTTCTGCTCACTTGTTTAATCTCTTTTATACCTCAAAAGAGATTGACTGAAGAGACCACCTAATACTATACGCTGTATTCTTCCTCATTAACATAATTATCTCAAACCCTGTCTCATTGACATCATAGAGAGAAGGATTTATTATAGGATAATTACATAATACTGAGAATCATGGCCTGGCCAAGGTGACAACATACTTTTTTTGGGGGGGGGGCACAATTCAATTCACATCAGTGACAGATCAAAAAGGGGGTGCAATTAGCCTCTTTTATTTTCTGTAAGAATAGCACTGGCACAACAAATGGTTTCTGTTTATGGATGTTTCTGGCACTAAATAATGAGAGAGGTCCTTAGATTTACACTCACAAAGCCAAGTAATTTTCCAACAAAAGTACCACATCTCAATTCATCCCAGCATCTACTGCATTTGCTTCTCATGGAAGGCATTCGGGAAATGTCTTTTGAATGATGGAGGAATAAACAAATGGATGAATAAAGAGAGCTTGTTATAAGCAAGGAAAAACTATAAAATTTTAAGTAGGGTAGTTATACTCTCCCCATCTCTAAAAATGTTGGTAAATCCTCCAGAAGATGACTTTGTTTTGCTGATGCAGTAGGAAGGCATTTGAGAAAATTAAATGTCCTCTATAATAAAGGGAAAGAAAAACTCAGGAAGAGAGCTGAGAACTCAGAGAGACAGTCTAGGACTGAAGTAAGGAGGAGAGCAAGTTCATGACAAGGGCATGGTTTAGAGTCCTATGCAGAGATGTGACAGCTGCTGATGGAAGAGGGATGGGAAGAAAGATGCTTTGAAGTTTAGGAAGTCTGTAGTTTAATTCCTTGCTCTATCTCCCCAAGACAACATCGCTAAAAGCAGACAGTGTACTCTTCTGTGTTTTTGGAATCTGGTCAGGACTTGCCTTTTGAATATACGAAAGCATAAAGGTTGACTGGAAGGGGAAGGAGGGAAATACATGCAGAGTGAGAACAGAGACAGTTAGGGAGACCCAAGGTTATTTTTATTCACCAAACTACATAGGTTGTAAGATTACAGAACAGAACTCTTGCTAAGTCAGAATTGTATTTGATGGCCCATGATGGGCACCAATGAAAAACATTATAACGTGGGGAGAGGTGGCAGTGACTTGGCAAGATGTGATGCTGAGCCTGTTTTTTTAGCCCAGTGACTAGTACCTAACGAGAGCTGGGGATGTGTGTGCTGGCTAATTGGATCAAACAGGATAAAGGAGGGGACGACGGACCATAGCAATTTGGAGAGGAGGGGTTATTGACTCCATTGTGGACATGAAAAACGGTGCCATCGTGGCGCAATGGTTAAGCGCTGAGTTGCACACCAAAACGTTAAAGGGAGAAAGACCAGACAATTTGTTACAGTAAAGATTACAGGCTAGAAAACCCTGTGGGGAAGTTCTTCTTTATCACATACGATCGTTATGACAACGTTAATTGACTCAACAACGCCCAACTACAGAGATGTTCTCATGCTGTCAGGGGCCGAGATGCCCCAATTCCCACATCTGCTTTATCAGGACCCAGGCGCAGGACCCGGTGTGGCTGCGACGACCCAGAAACACGCCCCGGAGCCCGGAGCCGGTTCCCTTCCATAGCGCGCTCTGACACCTCTCTACTCCTCGACTTCCGGGTTCCGCTCCGCACGCCTACGAGAACTTCCGGTTCCAGACCTTGGAAGCCGCGGCCTGGTGAGTCCGCGCAGCAGTGGCCCTCGTGGCCCCTGGAAGCAAGAATTCGGCCCGATGACAGCTAATCTGGGTGACAGTGGGTCCTCATCCTTCGGGTTATCTACGAGCGTTCCCAGCAGCCATTTCCCTCAAATGCCCGAGCCCCCTGCCGGATAGTGACGCCACTTCCTAGGGCCAGATGCAGCCAGGTGTTGTCAGGCCAGCCCCACTTAGTGGCTGGGAAGAGTCAAGGCAGTGCTTCTGGTATTTTGAGGAGCGTCTAGGAATTTAGGAGAGACCGTGTTGTTCACAGGACTAACAGATTTAGCAAAATGAAGATACAGGACATCCAGTTAAATTTGAATCTCATATAAACAACGAATATGTTTTTAGTGTAGCTAACTGTTCTGCGGGGGATAGATGAGGCTTTCTGCTCCCTTAAAGATTTACAGCCTCGGAAACCCTGTACGGGGTCGCTATGAGTCGCAATGACTCCATGGCACATTACTACCACCACCACCATATCCCAAATAATACATGGGACATTAAAAAAAAAAAACAAAAAAAAAACAACCCGTTGTCGTCTGTTTCAAGTCAGTTGTGTTTACAGAGTAGAACTGCTCCATAGGGTTTTCTTGTAATCTTTGAGGAGAAACAATTGCCAGACATTTCTTCCATGGCACTGCTGAATAGATTTGATCTCCCAACTTTTAGGTTAGTTTTCAGGCACAAACTGTGCCACCTAGGGACCAGCTTATAAACTCACACTACAAAATTCCTCATTTATTTCAAATTCACATTTAACTAGGAGCCTTGTATTTTATTTGGCAACCCCAGCTGTAGGCTCTGTGGTATGTAGCATTGCTGGGGCTCTCTAGGCCTTTGCCAATCTGGGAAATAGGTATGAAATTTGTTCACTCCCTCAAACCTAAGTGTTTTTAGATATTAAAACTTCATTAACACCATGCCTAATGGGCAAGTCACAGTGGTCTCCCTGACAAAAAGCTGGGCCCCATTTCCAAATTCCTCCTGGCATAGCTACGCCCTTTGTTCCTTTTTATATTGGAGAACCAGACCTTCTAAATGACCCAGGGCTAGATGTTGGCAGCTTATTTGGGTGTGAGATCAATTGGTGTTTGGGGTCCAGGTTTTCTGTGTTAACAGCTTCAGCGAGCCCTGGGATGTTGGGGAGAAAAGTAGTCTTAATCTCTTCCCACCTGGCGTTTGGCAGCGCCACGCAGGCAACCTGTGGTGGAGCTAAAATCTGGATCCCAGCTGCCTTCTCTTGCTGCCTCCATACTAGCTGATGCAGTCAGCATGCAGACCTAATGGGGGACATTTATTAAAGTAGGTTCCATGTTACAGATGAGTTATTTGGAGATTTCTTGTCCTTAAACCTTACTGCAGTCCCCTGACCTTCACCTCAAGGCTTCTTTAGCTTTTACTCTGCCCAGTAGGGAAAATGATTATTTGGGCTCAATTGTGGGAGTCTGGCCTTTGCTGCCTCCAGCCAGTAGGCTCTTACTGCAGTGGGTGGTGTGACCCAGGGCTTGTTCTTGGCAGGGGCAGGTCTGGCCAACTCTATGGGTATAAGGGCATCCTTCCCTGCCCTGCAGATTGGTTCACACACTGTGGCCTCACACAGTGCTGCCTCCGGACTTCTGTAAGTTTTCTCGCTGATTTAGATTTTTTTTCGGAACCTCAACTCTTGCTGGACTAGCCCTAAGTGCTGGGATTCCTCAGACTGTACACACTGAGAATATGCTTTGGGCCCAGCCTGGCATTGCCTTGGTGAGCCTGCAACCTTCCCACAGAGACCCAGCCCAGTCCCTTGTGCTAATGAAATAGAGCAGGCTGGAGGTCAGCGGGCATGGGGTCAGTTGGTGGGACAGCCAACAGCCTGTTGGCAGCAGAAGTGACAAAGAGGCAAGGCAGGGGTGCCAGAAAGGGACGGTGCTGCCGAGTGAGGGCTCAGAAGTTCAGGGGGTGGGAAAGAGGCAGGGCTGCAGCCCACTGATAGGAACTCTCCTTCTGTGAATGATTAACTGAGCTTAAGGGGTAACCCAGGAGAAGGGCTCAGCTAACAGGACCTTTGGACTCAGGCAGTGTCCAGAGGACCAGCGTGTGGTCTACAGACAAGGAGGACATGGCAGGGTGGCAGGGTTGGGCTCTGAGGATTGGAGTGAGTTCAGGCAGCTGTGAGCTTCAGGAAGTCTCAGTGGGCTGGAAGGTGGCCCATTCCTGCAGCAGTAGCTGTGGGGTCCACCGATCCTGAGCCTTCAGGGGTTGGCTGTAGGGGGCCTCCTGTATCTTTTCTGTCTTTGCAAAAACAGTTCTCACTGGTCTTGTCTTCTCCCTAGGCAGCCATGGGTGCCAGGTGGTGCTAGAGTGCGGGGGCATGGCTGCAGCCCTGCAAATCCTGCCCTGCCTGCCCAGAGCCCTCTTGCGCCTGCTTCCCCGGCGGGGGCTAGTAACCCAAGTGACCAGTACCATGGCCCTGCCAGAGCAGGCACGGCGATTGTTTGAGAGCACTGTGGGTGCTGTACTACCAGGTCCCATGCTGCATCGGGTGCTGGCCTTGGACCCCACTGGCAAGTTGCTGAAGGTGCGGGACCGAAGCTTTCAGCTGCGGAACAACCTTTACATGGTGGGCTTTGGCAAGGCTGTGCTGGGCATGGCAGCGGCTGCTGAGGAGCTACTGAGCCAGCATCTCGTGCAGGGCGTAATCAGCGTGCCCAAGGGGATCCGTGCTGCTGTGGAACGTGCCGGCAAGCAGTAAGGAGTTGTTGAGGGCTCCCCACTATCCATCTGAAGGGAACCTGGGCCAAGACCCAGGCTGGATTAGGGCCTCCCCTCCTTTGTTGGGTTTCCTATTTTCTGGGCCTGTCCTGCCTCCAGGTTGGGTGTGGGGGACATCCTTAGCTGTGGTTCTCATGTAGCTCCTGGGAAAGCAGGTAGGAGGGAGGAGGAGGAGGAGAGGAACTTGTAGCCTTTGGGTCTCCCTGCCGTCCCTTCTTAGCTCTCGGTTCTGCTCTCTTCAGGGAGATGCTGCTGAAGCCTCACAGCCGTGTCCAGGTCTTTGAGGGCGCCGAGAATAACCTGCCAGACCGTGATGCACTCAGGGCTGCACTGGCCATCCGGCAGCTGGCTGAGGGGCTCACAGCCGATGACCTGCTGCTGGTGCTCATCTCAGGTGCGGGTGACAGATTTGCCTAAGGGGGTTCCACATAACCAGATCTGTGAGGGACCTTGTGTTCTGAGCCATTGGGTCACAGAGCCACCTTGAGGCCCTCTCTGAGGCTGAGCTGACTCTGGGTGATGGTGAAAGGGGCATGGAGAGTCCTTAGCACAGAGCCTGGTGTGTCATCAGAGGCCTCCGGAAATGTCAGGGCTGTTGGTGCTGTCTGTGCTAATGTCACCTGGGGCTAGAGCTCAGGTCTCCAATCCTTGTAGATCCCTCTCCTTGCTCATTTGCTGTTTTGTCCTGCTCTGCCCTTACTCCAGAGCTCCTGAGGAATACTTCTTCCATTGTCTTCTGAGACCTGGGGCATCCCAAGGCAGGAGACAACCTCAGATGCTCAGGGACAGGGCAGTGATTGTGTGCACTTTTCCCACATATCCACACGGGGGCGTCTGGAGCACACCTTATCAGCACTCCCTCTCTCACTGTGGGCCTCACACCACCGACCTCGACCTTATTTGCTCCTGGCACGCTTGCCTGGATTCCTCAGTCAGTGTTTCTTTGCCTGCAAAGCCATTTCTGTTCCCTTTCCCCTCAGCCCTGATGCCCTCACTCTTTGCAGGTGGGGGCTCAGCCCTGCTGCCAGCCCCCATCCCTCCAGTCACACTAGAGGAGAAGCAGATGCTCACCAAGCTGTTGGCAGCCCGTGGAGCCACCATCCAGGAACTGAACACTATCCGGAAGGCCATGTCCCAGCTGAAGGGTGGGGGGCTGGCTCAGGCCGCCTACCCTGCCCAGGTATGGGAGTCCCTTCTTCCCTAGGTGGCCCTGGCAAGTCCATGTATACCAGGGAGATGAGTTGGCAGGGGCTGGTGCGGGAATGTATAGGGGTGGCTGGAGGAGCCCATGGAGGGTGAGAAGTACACATGGCCAGGTGTCTTGGAAGCCACCTCAAAGGGCTTTGCAGCAGGCAGGAAAGCGTCACGCTTGGCATGAGGGTGTGTGGATTCACAGTGGGACACTTTGTCCTTTGGGCTTTGGAGCATGGAGGAGGTAGGACTGAACCATGACCCCTGTAACCCTTTCTTAGGTGGTGAGCCTGATCCTCTCTGATGTAGTGGGAGACCCAGTGGAGGTGATCGCCAGTGGCCCCACTGTGGCCAGTGCCCACAATGTGCAAGATTGCTTGCATATCCTCAATCGATACGGCCTCCGAGCTGCCTTGCCGCGCTCCGTAAAGACTGTGCTGGCTCGGGCCGACTCGGACCCCCACGGGCCTCATACCTGTGGTCATGTCCTCAATGTGATCATTGGCTCTAACCTGCTGGCATTGGCTGAGGCCCAGAGGCAGGCTGAGGCATTGGGCTTCCGGGCTGTGGTGTTGAGTGCAGCAATGCAGGGTGACGTGAAAAGTGTGGCCCAGTTCTACGGGCTGCTGGCACGAGTGGTTGGAGCCTGTCTAACCCCCCTCGGAGCTGGGGCTTCTGCAGAGGAGCATATAGAATTGCACAGGCTGGCTGCTGAACTCCATGTCCCAGACCTGCAGTTGGAGAAGGCTCTGGAGGCTGTGACAGGGGCTCAGGGTCCTGTTTGCCTGATGGTTGGTGGTGAGCCCACGGTGCAGCTCCAGGGCTCAGGCAGAGGTGGCCGGAACCAGGAGCTGGCCCTGAGAGTTGGAGTAGAGCTAGGACAGCAGCCACTGGGACCTGTTGAAGCTCTGTTTTTGAGTGGTGCCACTGATGGGCAGGATGGGCCCACTGAGGCTGCTGGGGCCTGGGTCACATCGGAACTTGCCAGCCAGGCCGCTGCTGAGGGGCTGGATGTGACCACCTTTCTAGACCAAAATGACTCACATACTTTCTTCTGTCGCCTTCGGGGTGGGGAGCACCTGCTATACACAGGGCTGACTGGTACTAATGTCATGGATGCCCACCTCCTGCTCCTGAGGCTGCAGTGATGCCATGAGCCACACTCTGGGGGCCCAGAGGAGGCCTGAAGAGTTGGTTCCCAGGGCCTCCCCAAGCTAAGATCCCTCCTCACCTTGGCCCTGGCTACTTGCTGACCCTCCTACCACCCAGGGCCTTTCAGCTCCCTGGCAGGTGGGGCTCTCCCCTTACTGTTTGCCATGGCAGCAGGTGCCCTGTGAAGACCAGGGTGAGTCCCTTGGCCAGCTCACTGTTCCTGTTCTTCTCCCTTGAGCCCCTTAGCCTGTCTTTTCTGTGGAGTGAAGCAAGCAAAGCTGTGAGAATAAAAAGGACCATATTGTGGATTCTCAAGGTATCTTCCCTCAGAGCTAACTGGCAAGGGAGCCCAGGGGAGGGGAAGTGGGGTGGGATGGTGGCCATGATGCCCCACACCCCTGCCTGACCTTGTAATTATGAGCTCATGCCTCTCTCTTGCCTGTGTGGGTTGAGCTGGGATCCTGACGTCCTCTTTGTGGATGAACAGAGACTTAAGGAGGACAGGCTGAAGGACTGCAGGCCCTGGGGTCTTTGAGAGACTGGTCACCCATCCAATCCAACTGTCCCCTGTGGCATCCACCACAATCTGTCCACTCTCTGACAACTTCACGGAGTGGTGTTCACTGTTTGCCACAGCGAAGTCCCTCTGTCTTTGGACAGTTCTTTGCTGCATTCTCTGCACCTTCCTTGGCTGAGCAGTGCCTGCCCTACCTCCCAGCCCTCCTTACCCAGGAGCCACTTCTGTCCACAGACACAACCTCATCTCCTCGGGCCAGCTCTTTTCTCAAGCAGAATAGCCCCAGCTCCTTCATCTGCACCTCTGGTGGACAGTCTGGGCCCTGGAGCTGGCTCAGAACGGCTGGGATGGAGGGGCCAGAATGATGATGGCTTGGGAAAGGGAGTAGGGGGAGAGAAGCTGATGCTGACTCCCTTGGCCTGACTAGCAGAGGAGGGGGCACTGTCCTGCCTCCCATCAGACCCCTTGCTCTGTGTCAGAGCCCTCCGCTGGTTGCCCCCGCCGTGCACCACGGCTCCAATCCCTATATGAGTGAGCAGTAGAATCACATAGGAATAAAAAGCCATAGAGAACAGCGAGGCCTGGGGCTGCTTCTCCCCACTGAGGGGGTTGAGTGGCACTGGCCAGCACTGGCCTGTCTGCCCCAGGGGAACAGCTTCTCTTCCCCACTTGGCTCTGGAAAGCCCAGTTTGCAGGTGGTTTGTGACCCTGGGGATGTGGTTCACACAGGGCAGGCTGGGGATTGAGAGAGGGAAGGAGGCAAGGTGAGCTAGGCTCGGGACCAAAGAGCTTTATTGAAGGAGGGACTTTGCACCTCACTGTGATTCAGGGGCACCACTTCCTTCTGCTCTGGTGTAGGGTTCCTGTTGGCCAGGGTCACAGACAGCATACTGTCCCCACTGTGCTCTCTGCTGGTAGCTTTTAGTATGCTCTGTTCCTGCCTCAATCCTTGCTCTTAGGAGTATGGGGTTAGAACAGGAAGGTAGTGCGGAGACTGTCCCCATTTCCCCAGTGTGGGTGTGATGTACACATGTGTGCATATGCAGGGACTCTCACAGGATGAACTGCTCACACGCCCCTCAACCTGTATGTGTGTCCTAGGTTCTCGGGAGGCCACGACCTGCATTTCCTGAGGACTTTGAGTGTGGATAGGTCTTGCTGAAGGCCCTCCCTACTCCATCTGAGCCCCTTCCTTGTGCCTGTCTGGGGCATGGAAGGCTAGATACTAGACTGGGTACGTAGACCAGATCATTTGTGGGCTAACTCAAAATCTAGAAGTACTTACTCAGCATCTCTGATGTGAGAAAGGATGGATTTGGCTGTAGTTTGGGTGACATAATGAGGTAAATCCTGCATGGTGAGCATTTAACAGGATCATTACTTGCTCTGTAAATGCCGGTTATAGTAATTAACACACTCCGCTCCCTAGGCTAACCTAGCCCAGGTTCCTCCTGCCTGTGTGCCCACCTCAGCCCCACCCCTGTAGTTTTCCCTGGTCCATCTGGTGGCTTTTGCCATGGAGGGTGCCCACGCTTAGGACTGGTGCTGAGGTAGTGCCCTCAGCACAGCTGAAGAGGGAACCAAATGCTGCCTCGGCATCCCGGCCAGAGCCAGGAGGACCCAGGACTCTAAGTCCAGCAGTGGGGACTGACTCCACTTCAGACACCTGCTGACTTGGACACAATCCTTCATCCAGCGCGAAACCCCATCCTCATCCTGACATAGCTGACTCCCAACCTGTCATGTGCTAGAAGGTCACTCCCTGATGCCCAGGAGTTGGTCACATTGTCCCACACTAGCACACATGGGAGGGCCCTGATGAATGTCCACTGAATGAGCGAATTCCAAGCCCACCTCCTGGAAACTCCCCGACTGCTGCAAGCTCACTCTCTGCATTTGGTGAGAGCTGAGAACAACTGAACAGCAGACCTGCATGGTCCTTAGCTGTCAGCAGATCCAAATCCCTTTGTTTTATTTTTGGAAAAACAGAAAGGGAAGGTGATTTGTCTTGGGTTGCACAGCATGTTGGCTATAGAACCAGGCTGAGAGCACAGTTGGGGATTGGGGCCTGCTTGATCATCCTGTGCCCACTTGGTGGCTCAGAGACCCAGCAGGGGCTCAGCCAGATCTGTGGGATTCACTCCTTCTCTCCTGCTGCCTCTTCATGGCTGGGATTGGGGCTGCGACTACCCTTGACTTCTATTGATCCATAGTGTTAGTCCTATATGCAATTGGACAGGAACCTTGGTAGCGTACTGGATTACAAGCTGGGCTGCTAACTGCAAGGTCAGTAATTCGAATCCAAGCAGTTGCTCCTTGGGAGAAAGATGAGGCTTTCTGTACCTGTAAAGATGTACAACCTTGGAAACCCTATGAGCCAGAACTGACTCGGTAGCACATCCACCATGTACAATTGGAAGGCATCTTGGTTTGCAGTGGTTAAACACTCATCTGTTAACTGAAAGGTCAATGTTTTGAATCCACCAGCTGCTCTATGAGAAGACAATGTGGCAGTCTGATTCTGTAATGATTGCAACCTGGGAAATCCTATGAGGCAGTTCTGTTTTATAAGGTCGCTATGGATTGGAATCCACTCGGCAACAGTGGGTTATATGCATGTGTGGGGTGGGCTTAACTCTGCAGGGGACTATATCTACATCTGTAGACACACATGTGAATGTGAGCATGGGCATGTTTGTGGACATGTGTCAGTTTCAACCTCACAACCAGTTGCTAAATGGACTTTCTGAGTCGTGCCCTGTCCTTCTCCAGGGTGGAGATGCACAATTCGGTGTGGTTAGAATGTTGGGGATATTGTGAGGCAAGATATAAAGGCTGGCAGAGGCCACTTGGCAAAGGGGCCGTGTGTGTGTGTGTGTGTGTGTGTGTGTGTGTGTGTGTGTGTGTGTCTGGCCCAGGGGAATAGGTTTCATGCTGACAGCAGGTTTTTGGCAGGTGCTATTAATTGAATTCTGGCCCCCACGCCCACCCCCAAATATGTGCTTTAGATTCTAATCTCTATGCCTGTGGTTACAATCCTATTTGGGAATGGGTTGTCTTTGTTATGTTAATGAGGCAGAGTTAGTGTAGGGTGTATCCAGTCAATTTTTTTTTTAAATATAAAAAAGATTAAATAACTGAGAGTAGTGGAGCTGGGGGAAGAGAGATGCCAAGCCACATGAAGAATGCCCAGGAAGGAGAAGCTCAGAAGACACAAGATTCGTTATCTTTTGAAATATAAAAGAGATTAAATAACTGAGAGAAGCAGAGCTCAGGGAAGAGAAATGCCAAGCCACATGACTGCCCAGGAAGCAGAAGTTCAACAGAAAGAAACAGCCTTCTCCTAGAGGCAGTACCCTGAATTTGGACTTCTTGTCTCCACAACTGTGAGAAAATAATTTTCTGTTTGTTAAAGCCACCCATTTGTGGTATTTCCTTATAGCAACATTAGATAACTAAAACAGGAGGGAGTGAAGCAATGAGGCTGTGTTCTAGGCTTTGATGCTGAAGTCAGTGGGCAAAGTCTGGGAGACTAGAGACAGGCAGAACACATGTGCAAAGTCCTTTCCAAGCCTTCTCTTTATCCTGTGGCTGCGTTCCTTACAAAGAGGGAGGGGATGGAGTCATGCAAGGGGGTGGCTGGAGTTGTACTTGTGAGAAGGGTACACCACAGGGCTTTAAGAGCCTCCTTCCACTGCTTTCTGCCTGCCCTCAGTTTCATGCCCAAAGCCTTCAGTTGGCCCAGCAACCCTTTAGATACCCACTTTAGAGTCAAGGCTGGAGCTTGGATTGACACACCCTAGAAATAACCAAGTCCTTCTATCCCTGGGATGGCCACCAGGCCTTGGGGACTTGGAGGGCAGAGAGGCTGGATGGTTGGTGGGTACTTTGGTGGGCACAGGAATCCTGCCATTAGGCAGTTTCACCACTGTTAGCTAGCGTGGGAGGAGCTCTGGAGTGGAAGTCAGGTCCTAGGTCCCTGTCCTGGCCTGTCACCTTCCTTTCCTCATGCCTCAGCTTTTCCTCTAATAATGACAACATCCTTGCCCTGCTCATCTTCTGGGCAGGTGTGAGCAGCAGTAGAGCTTGGTAGGAGAGCTCTGTGCATGTAGAGAGCTCAGGGAAGGAGAGAAAAGAAGAGGAGAGGGACTGGTTTCTTCCAAGGAGAAGCCCAGGCAGTTTTTGACTTGTAGAGGCCCCATCTTCAGGGCAGTGCCAGAATTAGTCAGTGGGTGTTCACTGACTGAGGCTCGGGCACTAGAAGGGGATAGTATTTTCTGGAATCAGGATAAGCTGACCCAGCCTGGGACAGAGGCCCTGTTATGTCTCAGGCAAATGGTTAGGGAGATGGAGCAGGTGTGAGGGAAATGATGAGGCCTAGACTGGGAAGGGAGGTTAGAATGTGCTAGGGGATTATGCAGGGCTCAGGGCACTCTAACACCCCGTGGGTGGGGGAGTGGATGTTTGAGAGGTAGGGTT